TCCCAAAGGGGGGACATTAATATTCTTATGCACAGTTGAATTGTTAATGGGCTGATATGTCAATGTCACGCTCATGTGCCGGAACCATCATGGGGGGAACTGCTGCTTTTTCTTTCTGCATTTTTACTATCGTCATTATCCCTCAACTTCTTTTGTATGATTGTCACTCTCTTGTGAGCTGTTATTTTCGGGGTGTCTTGATGGTCGAAGCAGAATTTGTGCTATTGAGGCCAGAGAGGTGAGCAGAGTAAGCCTGATTTCCCGTTTGGACTCCTCTGTTGACATCCATCCCTTGACTCTCATATATGACATTATACAGTTGCTGACACCGTAAAACCGTAATAAAATAACAATAAAAACGAATGAAATTTATATAGCGTTCAACTGCGATTCAAGTACAAAGGCTCTGAGCGCTTTACGATACTGTACAACGTACAACAGTAACATAAAACGTTGTGTTCTGACTAAAAGAAAATCACTCCAAATATTCATCTTATTAATTTAAAAACAAAAACGACTTCAGGTGAAACTAAAGCAAAACGAAGAAAGGAGATGGCGTTGGCCAGCTGTTCAGAAGTGTGGCCTACTAAGCCCAACATTTAGATTTCGTATTTTATTTTGTTTATTGCAGTTTTTCAATCTGGGGTATCGTTTGCTTGTGGTTAAAAATATTTTGTCCAAATTCAAATATTAGGTCTAATAGTATAAGATTTTCACGACACTAGCAACATAAGAAGCTCATACAAGTGCCGAAGACTAGAGGCGTTACAAGAGAGTAACGTACAAAAAAAAAGACGGAGGAGAGGTGTAAGGACGATAGATGTTTGATAGGAAATAAGGCGTAAACCACACTAACCACCACCTTCAAATGGTTTATTGAAAAAAAGAAAGTAAATAGACACAATGTTGGTACCTGTACCATAATTGTTAACGAAGAATAACAGAGCCTTTTCTCTCTCCTGAAAAGGTTTGCGTTCTGGACCTAAACCGGTTTATTTGAACATCTGCTTTCCCACAATGGGCCAAGCCTCTACTTGAGATCAGAAACGTATAAGGAGTCCTCAGGACAAAAAAGGACCCATATACGGGCAAGGAAACGAAATGAAAATCGTGAGGATGTCGATTTTGAAAGGTAATAAAACAAACTAACCGCCAGGCAAACAGAAACTACTAGATCATCTCCAACAAAGACGCTGCCGAGATCTATGTCATTGCACTTGGGGTGCCATTTTCAAGTACCTTGAATACATAATAAATTTAGTAGGAGCAAAGACTGTTCTGAACAAACAACTTTTGAGAAACGAAACCAAAGAACTCGTACATTGGAACGGTGTAGACTGTGGGCTTAGGTCAAAAACCTTAGAATTTGTAACCTC